CATGGTATTGTAGATGCCGGAGGTGTAGGAAGTGGTATGGTATATGTTGGAAGGGAAGGAAGTGGCATGCTAAACGCCGGAAGTGGAGGAAATGGTATGCTAGACGCCGGAAGTGGAGGAAGTGGTATGGTAGATGTTGGAAGTGGAGAAAGTGGCATGCTAGATGCTGGAAGTGGAGAAAATGGTATTGTAGATGCCGGAAGTGGAGGAAGTGGTATGGTAGATGTCGGAAGTGGAGAAAATGGTATGCTAGATGCTGGAAGTGGAGAAAATGGTATTGTAGATGCCGGAGGTGTAGGAAGTGGTATGGTATATGTTGGAAGGGAAGGAAGTGGCATGCTAAACGCCAGAAGTGGAGGAAATGGTATGCTAGACGCCGGAAGTGGAGGAAGTGGTATGGTAGATGTTGGAAGTGGAGAAAGTGGCATGCTAGATGCTGGAAGTGGAGAAAATGGTATTGTAGATGCCGGAAGTGGAGGAAGTGGTATGGTAGATGTCGGAAGTGGCATGCTAGACGCCGGAAGTGGAGGAAGTGGTATGCTAGACGCCGGAAGTGGAGGAAGTGGTATGGTAGATGTCGGAAGTGGAGGAAGTGGTATGTCAGGTGTCGGAAGTGGAGAGAGTGGTATGCCAAGTGCCGGAAGTGGAGGATGTGGTATGCTAGATGCTGGAATTAGAGGAAGTGGTATGTCAGGTGCCGGAAGTGGTATGCTAGATGCTGGAAGTGGAGGAAGTGGCATGTCAGGTGCCGAAAGTGGTATGCCATATGCCGAAAGTGGAAGAAGTGGTATGTCAGGTGCCGGAAGTGGAGGAAGTGGTATTTCAGGTGCCGGAAGTGGAAAAAGTGGTATGCCAGGTGCCGGCAGTGGAGGAAGTGGTATATTAGATGCTGAAAGTGGAAGAAGTGGTATATCTGGTGCCGGAAGTGGTATGCCAGATGTGGTGAAAGTGGTATGTCAGGTGTCAAAAGTGGGGGAAGTAGTATGTCAAGTGCTGGACGTGGAGGAAGTGGTATGACAGATAGCTGAAGTCTGAGTTAGTAGCATGCAAATTAAGGAAGTGTTAAATGGATCCAGTTTTAATCCATTAATTAACTTGATTCACGAAAGATAAATTGTTAAATTTCCAAATTGAAATTGTTTTTTGATTTATTGCGTTTACTAAACATTTGAAATCATTTTGAACTGTCATATTTTTGGATTTAAAAAACGATTGAAGATTTGTTGGATAGGTCTTGCTTAATTTTAAAATTTGAAAATCAACCAACGTATTAACCCATACGAATAAGAGTTTTATATGCTACCAAAACAACTTAAAAACTATCAGTATTAAGAATCAGGATGATAACGAAAACTAATTTGCAATTTATTAAAGCCCAGCCACCTTGAACAACTTTCTTGATAGTTTAAATGCTTGAAATTATTGCCTGGGCTTGACAAATGGTTTTTTACTGCAGTGTGATCAATATATATATATATATATATAATGTCTTTAATTAAATTTAATAACTTCTTACTTCTCCTATGAGAAAAATTTGATCAAAATTTGTTCTTTAAACAAGAAAAATGAAAAATAAAGTAAATATATTACATTTGTTGATAAATGAAATATAAATGTTAAATAGATGGTAAAACGTTAAATATAAGATATACATTTTGAGAAATCAGTCAATTTTAGTGATTGAATTAATATTTTTGTTCGTATAATATTGATTAGTATTTTATTATTCACTGTGTTCGGAGAATTAGTGGAAACTGCCGTTAATCTACTTCTGGATACGGACTTGTATAATATCATTCCTCTAAAGAAATACTCGCGTGTACAACATCGTAATGACAAATTTGTTCCATTTCGACACTCTTGGAATATTTTCATTCCGGGGCGACGTACAACAATCTACAAAAACATTTTGTTGTTATTATAAATATCCTTCCAAGTTAGTTTATATTCATAGCCACGAAACATTATGTGAACGTTTGTGAAAGTATCCAAATGGATATTGGAGTGAGTATATGATGAACTAAACAAACACACCAACGTAGCAGCCAGTTGAGTAGAGCAAACCCAACAACGTTATTATTCAAAAATTTTAATTTGTGAATTAATTATTAAATTTTTATTTTTCTCAGTTAAAAAATAAAAAAGTTTATAAAATAAGGTCAAAAACTTGATTAAACTTTAAAGACATTGAACCGGTTATTTTTTTCAACATTTTTGCAATTAAAAATTAAGAAAAAAACATTTTTTCACATTGATTTAAATGGGTTTATGGGCAATAACTCTTCGAAGCTCGATTGAGACGTGTCGATATCATACTCATGTTTATGTTCCACAGCGGTGATGGTAATGTTAATTTCTGATCATTTTTAACATTGCTGACGTGTTTAATTTTATGAATAATGAAAAATATTTTTTTACAATTTCAGTTGGTTTTATTAACAAGAGATCTGTTTATATCAATTTGCTTCGGTATTTTAGTCGATATTTAAGCAATTTGTTTTCCATTGAATGGTTCGAGTTATTATTTTTTACTAATACAAAATTTCAGAGCTCTATTTCAAAGCGTGACAACGGAAGGATAAAGATATCATTTATCACAATAGCCGTCGTTATGTTGCTGTTGTTCAGTGTTGACAGCAGAAGAGATCCTGAAAGAGTGGTAATTGGGAGACATTTGCAAGAAGCTTGGGATATAGTTAAATTAGCTTTCAAATTAAATTCAATCGACAGTAATACAAGAGGTTTGAGTGTTTTTTTCAGCCTACATAGTGTGTTTTAAATGGTTCCATGATTGTTTATTACTCAAATTTGAATAAGGAAATTATTAAAATAGTGAAATAAGCTATAAATACAACTTTGCCAACTTTTTTCAAAGTCCAAACCGTCCCAAACAACATCTGAAAAGCCACCAGCACTACTTTTATTTAAACATGATTACCTAGAAAAGTTTCTACCCAATTTAAATTTCAGACGTTCTGAATAAAATTTTGATAATAAAATAAATGTTTTAAAGCTTAATACTATAAAAAGTTCGATGTTGATTAATTTGATTTCATTATTTTTTTTAACAAATTGATAAATAAATTCTTTCAGATTTAAGGTAAAAACGAGTTCACCGTGTCCAATTTAACGTTGGTTTGTTTAACATTCCAGAAAACTACGCCTTGTTTAATTGAAGTAACTAGCACACAAAAAATATTTAATTCATTACATTCTTCCGAACATTATATGATTATTTCCTTACTTGTCTAAACATTCCCATTATTAAAACCGACAATAAAGACAGGTTTCATGAAATCTAAAACAGTATTAATAACTGAACTAAAAATAAAAAGGAAAAAATTGTTAACTTTAAAACGTTGAGGAAGTAAAATGTTCAAAATTTTGTGCAGCTGGCTAAATGAAGTTACATTATTCATTTGCCGACACTTTCAACGAACGAAAGCATCTACCAAAGCGGATGTATTGAAATTTCTAGCGTCACTTTTCAGAAAACACGCTGGTGGTTCCAGTTCAATTAATTAATTAATATTTAGAAAATGAAGCAAAGTATTTGATTATAGGTGTGTTTCAAAGACGTCTAACTTTGGTCTGGAAATAATAAAAATCAACCATAACATAATATATTCACGTTTGCTGATAAATAAAATAAAATATAAATATTAGATAGATGGTAAAGCGTTAAATATAAGATATACTTTTTGAGGAATCAGTCAATTTTAGTGATTGAATAAATATTTTTGTTTGTATAATATCGATTTAGTGTTGTATTAGTATTGAGTTATTGTTACATGATGTTTACTGTGTTTGGTAAATTTGTGGAAACTGCATTTTCTCTAATCTGGCTACGGACTTGTACAACCTCATACCTCTAAAGAAATACTGGCGTGTGCGACATAGTATTGACAAATTTGTTCCATTTCGCCACTCTTGGAATATTTTAATAAAAAGGCGACGTACAAAAACATTTTTTAGTGATTATAGACATCCTTCCGATTTAGTTTTGTATTTATAGCCAAGTATCGTTTTTGAAAATTTTCAAAGTGAATATTGAAGTGAGTACATGAAATAAAGCTGAACAAACAAAAGTTACAAACAGTTGAGTAGAGCAAAGCCAACTATGTTAGTTCATTGTGCAGCTGTCCTTCGCTCGTCTCTTTATTAACATTCGTCTGACAAAAATATTATTAAACGATTTCATAGAAACATTTCTTTAATTTTAAAAACAAATTTAACAAATAGAAAAAATGAAAATTAATTTCAGCAATTTTTAAATTCATTAACAACATATATTGAAAATTTTTGAACATCTTTAGTTTAACTCAAATGTTGTCTTGGAAAGTTTATTCAACGTTTGATGCGAATTAAATTTTGAAATAAATATTTTTATCTTCCTTTTTGTGTTGGACATAAATAAATTATAAAAAATAAACGGAGGGAATTTTTTTCAGTTGCCTTCAAATTATTTTACATCTAACATAGCGTGGAATCTACAACGTGGATCGAACGCTGGGGCGGGATGACCACCATACCTACAAACAAGACCACCGTACTGGAAATGAATTCATTCAACGGTGGTTATGATAATGATAACATAAATGGTAGAGGCGGTGATGATGATGATGACCTCACGAATTCAAACATGTCTAAAAGTTCCATGACGTGGAGTGAACGAGGGTTCTTTAAATTTTTCAGTTAGTCTTTATTTCAATTCCTTTCAGGTAATAAATCTTGAGTGCTGTGCATAACATAATTATTTTTTCATTATTGATCTATATCGGTTGCTTCAATCTTTTTTAAATGAGAAATCAAGCTGTTTGATGAAATAAGTTTTTATTTACTCGATGCGTGTGAAGTTTCTTTGTATTTGATGTTATATCCAATCGCAAAATTCCTCATAATGTAATTTTGTATTGTAGTAATTTTAGTAGTAATTCAGCGTGTAATTTTTCCAGATAAACAGCAGCAGTCACGCAGGCAGATCATATCGAGTATGAAGCAGAAGAAGGATATTCAAAAGTGGCAACGACAACCAGTCATGCAACGTACAGATCGAAATAACAACAACTCACAACTATCACAACCACAAAACACAGTTTCAGCACAACAACAAAACCAATTATTCTTTCAGTTGCCGGTTAAAAATGTTGATAAAGTGACTTGCGTAAAAATTATTAACCCTTTAGAGTTATACGATTTAAATGCGTTCAGTTTAAGAGGTGTCAACATGTTAGAGATTGAAGATTCAGAAGCTGTTCTGACTGGACTTCCCAGCAACCTCTTGTTGGTGCTGGAGGCAGCCAAACTATCTCACTTCTCAATGAGATGGAGTGCAATCAAGCACGTTCCAGCTGAATTGTTTCATTCTGGTCTCGTCAGTTTGATCCTCACTGACAACCACATTAAAAAAATAACGGGACTGGAACGAGCTGAAAGATCTCTCAGACTGCTCAACTTGCAAAGTAATCAACTGATCAGTCTGCCGAGAGAATTGTGCTACATGATCAATTTAGTTGAGTTGAATGTAAGCAGGAATAATCTCACTGAACTCATTGATACCATTGGATCACTTCGAAATTTAGAAATTCTTGACTGTTCATTTAACAAATTGAAAACACTTCCTGAATCAATGAGCGAATTAGTAAATTTGAAGCGCTTGAATATAAGCTCAAATATGATAATCTCACTTGAATCATCTTTCTCACAATTAATTAAACTGGAAGATTTGCAAGCGAGCCACAACCAGCTCAGTTCGCTTCCATTCTCATTCGACAGCACTTTGGTAAATTTAAAATCAGTTCTTCTTGGGAAGAACAGCTTCCGTAACATTCCGACCTGCTTGTGCAATCTGCCTAAACTTGAAAATTTGAATTTGAAACAAAACTCGCTGCAGTTCGTCTCATCTTCCCTGACCTACGTTACAACACTCGTTCTTGACGACAACAACCTCAGCGAAATCCCACTGATACTTCTGCAATCAAGGGCTATGGAAAATTTGTGGCTGAGAAATAATCAGCTGGAAGGCATCCCGCAAGAAATATCATCTCTGACGCTACTGAGAACTCTCCACTTGGACGGCAACACCTGTCTACGTCACATACCTCCATCGATGGCCTCCATGAAAAACTTGAAACGCCTGTCAATCAAAAACACTCTGGTCGATTCAGCAAATGCAGTCATCATATCTTTATTGAACGGAAACGTAACGGTAGAGTTTGGTTCGAACGACAACGCCGACAGATTACCCTCATCTCGCCACACGGTAGGAGGAACTGGGCTGAAACACAACGCACGAGAAACTCTCAGTCCATTGAAGAACGATCCTGAAAATGCAGACAGTCCCACAGTGCATCAAAATGGTAGTGAAAAGTTTTTTAAACACAAACAAACCAGGAGTGCTTCTCATATATAAAAAACTTGTCTTTTTGTGCTATTTTTTAATTTATTTGCATGTTTTTGGTTTATTATTGAATCTTATGCTGTCATAATCACCTGAATTATTTACATATTTATCTAGTTCTAGTGAGACTTTCTCTACTTGCTATATATCAAAATTCTGTGTCAGAGTTAGCTATATTTTGTGACCATCAAAATTATATTGCTTAACGCTGTTCAAATGAGATTAATTATAATTGTAATAATGTTGTTATCACAGTTACAATAATAAAAACCACATTAGAATTAGTTGCAGAATTATAAACATAGAGCAATGCTAGTACTGTAATAGTAGTTGTAGTAGTAGTAGTAGTAGCAGTTATTGTTGTTGTAGTAGTAATTGTAGTACTAGCTGTAGTAGTAGTAGTAGTAGTTACAGAAAAGATAACAAGTAAATTACTAGTAGTAATTTTTTATGCTGGTTTCCAAGTGAAAATTCTCGATGAATAATAATAATAATAATCAAACATTTGTAAATATAAAACATTTCATTTTGCCATTTAACGCGCAATTTCTACTGCCAAGTAGTCTAGTTCATGCGTAACATTGTCTTCGTTTCGCCAATAACCATGTTTCATTTAAGATCATGGCAATCATTCTTCATCATCTTTTTATAACTATTCATTATAATATTGTTATTATTATTATTATTGTTATTGTTATTTCCAGATCTTTTGCATAAAATGAAAAGAATAAATTATGATCGCATTACAAATCATCAAATATTGAAAGAGTGTAGGCGTTGCATGATGACCATCCCATAATAAACACTCGTCTGGGCATAGATGTGTGCGTGTGTCTGTACGTGCGAGTGCGTGTGTACGTGTGTGTGTGCATGTGTGTGTATGTGTGTGTACGTGCGTATATATTGTGTAAGTTGTGTGTCTGTTTATGCATGTATATGTGTGTATGCCTGCATCTTCTGGTGAGTATGTCAGCTTTTTTCCTATCTTCTCCTTCTTTCTCTTTCTCTCTCTCTCTCTCTCTCTCTCTCTCTGTGTGTATATATATATATGTATATATATATATATATATATATATATATATAGGAAGAGAGAAAGACACACAAACACAAATTGTGTGAGTGGGTATGTGTAATGTGTATGTGTAATGTGTATGCTGTGTGCGTGTATATCTGTGTGTTATTTACGTGTAGGCATCTGCTTTTGTTTGCCTTTTTTATGTGCGCGTATATGTATGTGTGTGAGTGTGTGTGGTGTGTGTGCAAGTTCATCTACCTACCTATTCAAATAATTGACTGATTCGTTCGTTTGAGTACATTACATACATTTATATATTTTTTGCCAGACTATCTGAACTGACTCACATGGGAGTGTATGGAATTGTCTGTATGTTTAACCGCATTCTATGGATATTTATCTTCAAGTATTCGTGTTGTAATACATGGTGTGGGCAATGCGGCCCTCACAGCAACAAAAAGTTTGCCCACCCCTGTTTTAATATAACCATTTTCTGTGGATGTTTGGGTTTGGTTGATGGAAAAAGTGAAAAAAAGTTATATAACTTGGTATAGGCTCCATACGTACTTTCTCGATATAAGTTTTGTTGTGACTCTAATTGAATTTAACTACTGCAAAATTTAGTCAAACTGAGGTCTGAGATTTTATTTAAAATGAAACATTTTTCTTAAATATTTTGCCAACATATTATTCACATTCAAGTTTATAAGTAAATTATGCTTCAAATTGGGAAGTAAAAAACACATGGAATAAAACGATAAATCAAGGTTCATAAAGTATTGAAAAATAATAAAAACTTTTTCAGAAATCATGTTATTAAAAGAAAAAATTAATAGAATTTAAATCGTTCTTCAAATAACTCATCGCTGACAAAACAAATAAGAAAAAAAGCCATGAAAACTGATTGGACAAAGTAAAAACATCAAATACGCTGACGACACCTACCTCATCATCTCATCGTCTAACACAACACCATCCAATAGTAATAACTCGACTCTTTAACTACATGGTCTGTCACTTAACCTCAATAAATCATTCGAACTCATTATACACAATAGTCGTTACACAACAACAACTTCAAATCAACAACTACAAATTCTCATCAAAAAACAAATTCGCCTCAACTATCTACCTGCATCATATCCTACCGTCACTCAAATATTCAACACCAACACACTCGATTCAAGACTGTTCAAGAAAATAACAACAACCACGTACGTCATCCTCTACTACCACCAATCAAAACTACTACACACAACCTTCGCCAACGCAAGCATAACTATCAACTCGTCACTCAATCAACTTATCAGGACAAGACCTTCATCACAAGACACCTGAAATATATTAACACTCACTAAGCATTTGTCACTTGGTAAATTTTTGCTTTTTTTTCTTTTACAAACTCTTAACTCACTTACAAAGTCAATAACTATTCAATCATTATTCTATTTATTTGTTTTTTTAAGCCATTGTTTTATTTTGCATGCTTACCCCACTTAAACATTCCCACTCCTAACCCTTACACCACTTAAACATTCCCACACCTTATCAATCTTGTCTCATATCGACCACGTAGCTCACTTAGTATGTCCTCAAATAGTCACAAAATTAATTGCTTAAATAATAAATGCTTAAACATTTGTACTCCGTTATTTATTTTTCGTAACCATTACGCTGTAACAGTTTCTGCGTCTGTCAGATTCTGATTTTTAAAGAATAATAAAAACAAAACAAAACAAAGTTAAAATGAGGAATTTTCATTAAAAAACTGTAACACAATCTAACATTGATTAATGTTTACGTAAGTTATACGTGGTTATTTGAATTTGCAAACACGCCTTGTATGGAGATGTGTGTTATAGCAGCTGTTTGAAATACTCTTTTGCATAAATATTCCAATATTGATGCATTTTATGTATTTATTCGTTCACTGCCTAATATATGTGTGTGTTGTGTGAATGTTGTGTGTGTGTGTATGTGTGTGTATGTGTGTGTCTGTCTGTGTGTTACCTATTTTTGTATTTGTTTGTCGACAGAACTCAATCAACCAGATGTCATTTGTCAGTCAGTTAGCCATTCTCAACTCTGACCTTACGTAACGCGGACTACAAAAATGTTTCAACAAACAGACAGACAGACAAACAAGCAAGCAAACAAACAAGCAAACGCACGTCACACAAAAGATAGGAAAACATTACTTAACGAACAAACTTGATGGTTGTTTGTTTGATTTGAGGTACCTACTGTAAGTAGTACTATTTCATTTAATTTTATAATTTCGATATAAGCTGTTTAGCTATCTTTTAACTGCACTTCAGGCTTCATCTGTAATTCACACAAAGATTTGTTTAACCGTCTAATGAAAATTCTTTCAAAATATTAAACATTCAATTTAATTACATATTATTATTTATATTATATTATATTGTATTTATTTTATATATTATTATAATTTAATTATTATTTAAACTATTATTATTAATTTGTTATAAGACTTATAGAAATTCACAAAATGACAACAACGCGAATTTTATTTAGGGATCGTCTTATTTGTTGAAATAATTTTTTTGCACTGTCCTTACGTAATTGAATTAAAGTGTCAGTAGGACAAACGGTAAAGACAAACACACACACACACACAAACACACCACACAAACACACAAACACACACACACCACACACACACACCACACACACACACACACCACACACACACCACACACACACCACACACACACACCACACACACACACCCCACAAACACACACACACACCACACGCACGCATGCACGCACCACACAAACACACACACACGTACCACTCACACACACGCAAAACCCCAAAAAAAACCGCTACCATGCACATGAACATATACACATGCATGCTACTCCACATGCACGCACGCACGCAACATTACACAAACGTTTCCATCACCTCATAAATATTCAATTATTCCATGCAGTAAATTCTCTTGCAGTATCAAAGGACCTACTCAACCATCATGAAATATAATATAAGGTGTTTTTTGAATTCATTATCTTTGGTCTCGCCCATCTCTTTTTTACGAGCCACCGCGCATGCGAAACCCCAGTTTCTATGGTAACGGTTTCGACGTTTTTCTTATGATGGACGTCAAAGTAGTTATTTATGACGTTGTTGATGACGATGGTGATGACGATGATGATGATTACGATGATGATGGAATGATACAATAATGATTAAGAGGAAAATATGGATGTTGAAGGTGGTGACGATGATGATGATGATGATGAGATAATAAGAATAATGATTAAAATGAAGATATGGATGTTGATGGCGGTGGCAATGGTGATGATGATGATGACAATGATGATGATGATGGAGATGATGATAATGATGGAAATGGTGCTGATGATGATGATGACAACGATGATGATGATAACTTTGATGTGTTCATTGTTATTCTTTTGATGGCTCTAATGTGGGTTAGTACGTTTATGACAATGATGATGATGATGATGATTAGAATGATGATGATGATGACGATGACGACGACAATGATAACATTATTCATACTAAAGTTAATAGCGTTAGTAATATGATGACGATGATGAGTACGAAGATGATGATGATGATGATGATGATAATGATGATGATAATGATGATAGTAAAAACAAAATGATGATAATGGTAATGATGATAATCATGAAAATTAATGTTATAATTTTGGCTAATTTCAGTTTTTCCAATAATAACTATACAGATTTTTGAATTTTATTTCATTATTTTCAAAATGCTTGACATTGCGAACGGCTATAAATAGACAACCAATTAGAACGCTCGGATTTAAATAACCGAACGGTAATTGGTCGTTACAAAACGCGCATATGTAAAATTAAACGACGCTATTGGGCGCGCTTCACTGAACAATTTCACGGACGACTTGACGCTTGCTGCTGCTGATGTGACCTCTCAAGTGCTCCTGCAAATAATGATTTCTGTATGGAAATCCATGACTGCTTCTTTGAGTGGGACATTTACTATGTAAGCGCACATTATGTATGTACGTATTGTACATATAAATCTGGTAAGAAAATTTATTCTCTAAATGTGTATGCATATTATCGTACACGCATTTGCTACATGCATACAAAAATATTTCTTTATTTTTTTCTACAAAAATATTCATAGCCGACTAAAAATACACATAATAAGACATAACTGAATACCCAAACAAATTGTATGTATGTAAATTATTATAAATGATCAGTTACACAGAAGCTAGCATGACGTATCGCATTGCATATCTTGCAAATAGAATTTAAATATCGCCAAAATGAAAGATAAATTTAAAAAATCTATATGCCGGACCGAACAACCGACATCGCTTATAGACTATTTCCACAACTTTTCATACTAAAAAATGATTGTAAGATAGTCAGCTACAAAAAAACGGTTACTACACGTACATAAAAACCATTTTTTGAACATAAAACTTGAACAATCTTCGCAGAAAATGTTGACATGTTACAGAAACACTTAGCTATAATCTCACTCAATGACCTCATAAATATGCATAATTAATGACGCTTTCTTCCATCGATTTGCCTCAGCCAATCAAATTTATTTCTCAACATAATGATCCACGATCATTGGTTGGAATTGAGTCTTAGGTCATTTATACGCAATTTTATTGGCTGAAGAGAGAAAAGGGAGGGACTAGTAAGAAGTTCGAAAATTTACTGAGATGAATAAATGGTATTTGAGAATAGATGAGGTCAATAATTATGCAAATATTTTGAAGAAGAACACTTGGATTTGGAACAATTGAAACAAACGAACAATAACAGACAACAAATTTCTGTGTTGCTATTTTGTTACTGAAGAAGCATTGTTATCATCGATAACTACAACAACAAACAACAACGACAACAAACAAACAAACAACAACGAACGACAACGACAACAAACCAAAAACGAAGCTTTAAAAAAAATTAACAATTCACTAGCTAAAACTATGGACGGAATAAGAATGCCGCAAGAACAACGTTTAACAACTGTTGGCATTTTTTAATTTTGTTCCTATTAACAAAAATTTAATAAAAATATCTATATAATCATTAAAAACAAAAAAAATTTTTAAATAATATAAAGATCTAAAATTTTGTAACAAAAATCGTAATTTTTAAACGCAATTACAACACATAACCTTGGTTAGGATTGGTTATTACAATGGTTCTAATGCATTTTGAGGATTATTTTTGTACCACTAAAACATATTTGTTTAAGAGCAGTTCTTTAAACGTTTCATTGTCAAGTCTGTTTTGTCACCAATAGGGCATTTTATTGCATTTTAATTAATTTTTCTGTTGGTTGAAATATTTCAAACATTAAATCATGAAAAATATTAAAGTTTCATTTGCAGAGTGCAGTCAGGAGTATTCTTGCATAGCAGCATAGCATCAAACTGGATGATGTGTGTGTAAGAGGATGCATGTCTGGAAAGGCGAAAATCACCAAGATGATGATTTCAAAGTGAAACTATTGTTTGATCGCGGCAATAACATTTCAACTAAAAATAAAGTGAACTGCAGTAGTAACAACAACACAACAACTAACAGTAGAAACAACAACATCACAAACAACAACTACAACACAACTAACAATAGAATCAACAACATCGGCAACAAATACTCCAATAAAATGAACAATACCTCTAACCACAGTGCCAGTGAAATTTTGTCTGCTGATGGTTTGAAAGAATTTAGTATGTTTTTAAGAAATTCATTTTACTTAATTTGCAATAAATTAATCTTGGCACAGTTAAAATAAACGTTTTTTTTGTATAAGATTCATTCGGTGCACGGAACATTCCCAACTCAAGTTATGTGAATGAAAAAGTCATGTCGTATCTAAACAACAATTTGAGCCACAATCACTATGTTTCAAATTATGCACACGTTGGTGACGATGGTTACAATGGGAAGAGGAGTGGCGATGCTAGCAACAATTTCGAATGCGACGATGACGTTGACGGCGTTGGAAGCAGTGGAAGTGGCTGCAGTGGAAGTGGCTGCAGCGAAGAAGGAAGAATCGACCTGCTTGATGACAGTTATTTGAATAGAAAGTTAACATCAACACCTTTACAAACTTTTGATAAGGATAAAGATCTTATTAATTTAAAAAATTTTAGAACTAGTAACTATGGAATTTCAAATAATTCAAAACTACCAAACAATGATGACAACGATAGCAAAAAGACAAAACAGTCGGAGCCACCTATGAAAACGACAACAATTTCAACAACGGCAACTACAACTGCACCAAACGCGCCGTCGCAAAAATTGAAGAAAAAGAAACGACGAGTGCTTTTCTCAAAGGCGCAAACGATTGAATTGGAGAAACGTTTTCGAGACCAGAGGTACGTTTCGGCTCCAGAGAGAGACCACCTTGCCAGAACACTCAAACTGACACCAACGCAAATCAAAATTTGGTTTCAGAACCATCGTTACAAACTCAAAAAGTCCTGCATCACGAGTTCAAATGATCTGAATCTTCATACAGGCCATGATGACGTCACAAGTAGCAACAACATCAGCCAAATGCCATTCAAATCTAATTTTCTTTCAAAAGAGCAAAACAAGTTTTTTCCCTATCATGGTTTTAACTATAGTTATTTTCCATATCAACAACAACTTTGTCAGCAAATCACAGATAATTATTCTCGCAACATCAATGGTAACTCTCATCGAGCGCCAACTTCTCCAAAGAAAGTATCGGTGCCTGTCCTGGTACAAAATGGTGTGCCACTGCCCTCCTACTCATCCACTCATTATTCAAACCTTTCACCAAAACCGTACGATGAACGCAGCAAGCCTGGTGAGAACTTGAAGAGGAACAGTTGGTCTCATAATCAGCACGCAGGAGTCGTTCATTCAAACACAAGTGCGAACGAAATTAACAACATTTTTGCAAACAACGCGAACCGTCAAAAGGGGATTGGAAGTAATTTCGAAACCAGCTCACAAAAAACGTGGCCATCATCATCTTTTAACCTTTCAAATTTGTATCAAATGTCTTCTCCTTTCTGTCAAAACGCGGAAACCTACCAGAAATGGCCTGAAGTAGATGAGAGATTAAAAACAAGACTGCCTCCTCACGTCAATCCATTCCCATACTACTATCATTCGCAACCTCATTACCCTAATCAAAATTTTTTCGGTTGCAACCCGCTGTTCAGCCTTGGTTCTGACAGTTCAGACCAGGATCTAAAAAATACATTTTCACAGAACATGAACCGACCTGTTGATGGCGGTTTGGTGGGCAGTTGTTATCTCGGAGGAATGGATGCTGTGGTGGGCAGTGTAGCGGACAACGTGGTTCCTGGAGCCGGATACATGTACGAAAGGAAAATATAGCAGTACTCATTTGTTATAAGTGCGTTGTCGTGTGCTTTCTAACTCTGTAAATGAATTTGGTTTACATTGTTTTTGTATTTTTTAGAATTCACAGCTGTTTTATTTCATACTTTTTTATATTTATAATGCCATATTTTGCCTAAAAATTTTATCTTACCACTTAGAAGGAAAACTATGAAAACTACTTTGTAATGGATAGTAGGTAACATTGCAACTCAGATTTTATGCATTCTTACAGAATCATTCTTATCAAACATGCACCACACTTGAATCACGTGAACGCCGTACGTGCTACGAACAAAAATTATTCTTCGTTCAATTGCTGTTGTTGACTTTTAAGAATAAAATATTTGAAGACGTGTGTCGTTAGCTGAAAAATTGTATACAAAAGAAAGAGCTCAAACAGATTCGTCATCATATAAACGTAATATCATTAGCACCCAAAAACAAAGAAATTAATTTAATGTCAGGATTACATGGCAACATGTGGTGTCACTATGTGCAGAAAGTATCAACACATTAAACAATGAATGAATAGTTCGTTGGTTGATATTGATACCATGAGATAAAATTGTTTGAGCAGCGATAAAATTTCAAGTGTTATCTCTCTACACATTCATATGCATATTTTATATTTTATAAAGGCCCAAGTCGTAAATTATTATTCATCTGGTAAATACAGCTTGATGAATGATTGTGTGTGTGTGGTGTGTGTGTATGTGTGTGTGTGTATGTATGTGTGTGTGTGTGTATGTGTGTGTGTAAAAGGGAGAGTTGAGAAAGAAAGAAATGTTGCAATTGTGAAATAGTTTACATGATGTATCTAATGAAATTAAAAATTTTCAATTACTCATTTAAAATTTAATTTAATTTAGAAAAATGCTTCATTGGTACTGAAAAGATACTGATCTCGTCAGGTTATCTCGTCGAGTGAGATTCAATTTCAAAATGTGGGAAATTAACCAGGCAGTGATAGTGGATGATGCTTCCTTTTGATGGTGAAAGATGGTTCTTTATTTGGTGCCTTACTTGCTTATAATATAAGAGATGTACTAATTCATTTCTGCCTTTGACTTTAACTAAAAAATTTATTTTTAAGTGTTACCATTGACCAATGAAAATGTGAGCTGACATAAAGTTTAAAATGATTCCATTTCAATAATGACGTCATATTTCTGCAAGGTATAGATGGGAGAAGTTATTTCAAACTAGTCTACTCGGAATGCGTTTTCTATTTATAATGTATAAGAATGCAGTGGACAGACAGGCAGACCTCAAAACCAAATTTTCCAGAATTAAAACAATTTGATTCCAAATTAAAAACATAAATTAAATTAATGACTAAAAACTATTTAAAATTGTTCGATGATGATCACCGCCAACCTTCTTAACACTCAATTGATGTAAGAGTGGCAATTGGAGTAAGTAGCAGTGAGTGAAGACCATCGCGATTATTCGATAATAACATTTTGATTTCTGAAGACGTTGGGGCGTTCAATCAGCATTCAAGTAACCCTCAAACAATTCTTCACTCAAGTATATTCTTTAGGCTTTTCATAAACAAAACGAGAAATGAAGGAGCTGGCTGGTTGAAAATTGGACAAGATTGCTATTAGCAGAAGTACCATTATGTCTTGATTGCCAGTACTAGAATTCTGGTAGTTGTTAAAATCATTTGAAAGTCGTTAAGAGAAGACAAGAGTTGTTGTATATTGTTGAGTTGGAGATAGTGGTTAAGTAATTTTTTTAAATTGTGACACACTCGTGTGCCTGCTTGTAAGTGCCGACGCTAACAACAACAATGAAGATGGAATTAATTCTGAGAACGAAAATGGTGGTACCAATAAAGCAGTATTTTGATGAATTACAAATTTAACCGTCAACATCTAGTTCTCCAAATAAATTTTTTAATAAATTTGAGGCAAACTAATGTTTGTCTACTAATATTATCATTTTATATTTCATAACACACACACACCACACACACACACACACACGCACGCACACTGCGCGCACGCACACATATACACACACCAACATCATCTTAAGGAATATAAGGTAACAAATAACGTACATACATCCTCTTTCGTGAAAGTTTCATGAAAAGGAAGAAAAATAATGATAATAAAAATTATTATTTTTATTACTCGTGCACACATTTACCTGATGTATGTGAGTAGGATACGTGGGAGGCTCATAAGAGGGGACAGGTGATAGATGTAGTAGTAGTACTAGTAGTAGTATTAGCAGATGCAGCAGTAGTAGTAATAGTAATAGTAGTAATAGAAGTAGTTGTAGTTGCCGTAGTAGCAACAGTAGTAGTAGTAGTAGCGGTAGTGGTAGTGGCAGTGGTAGGAGTGGTAGTAGTAGTGGCATTAATAGTAGTAGCAGTAATAGTAGTAACGTAAGTTTTCTAGTAGTTTTGTAACATTAAATATAATATTATTATCAGCAGATGAATTTGATTTAATTAATATTAATAATATAAATAAGATATAATTAACTAATTATTTGTTTTAGCAAATCACGTAAAACAAGCTGTAATATATACTGTAGCAGCTCTTATATAAGAGGTTTATATTTAAGCGGGTTTAGCTGCTTTTAACGCTTTTGAATAATCAAAATTTTGCGCGCTTTGATAGGTGAAAATTTAAAAATTGCAAACAATGTTATCAATGATTTTATTTTTATATTTTATATTTTTGATTTGAAAACACTGCACGCTGTCGTAAACACATTCAAATTCGGATTTGTTAATTGTTGTTGGTATTTAAAAGTTCTTTGAATTAAAATTTTTTGTTTGGAATATATAATTAAAAAAACCGTTGAGACAAAATTAGAAAAAAAACTTCAGCGTGTAACAATGAGCATAAACATTTAATAATAATTTTAATTTTCTCACTCCCGGCAGGGCAAGCAACGCCAGTCAAACGAAATAAAAAAAAACCACTTGAGTGAATTCACTACAAAATTTCAGTCACATGAATTGCAATTCATCACATATGAATCTTTAACAGCATTATTAAATGGCGAATGACTATCACACCATATGAATTAATTATTTTTTCATAATATAATTAATTGTAATGAGAATAATATTATTAAAAACATATTAGCAACTACATTTATTTTCATATTTGGTAAATGAACTACAGTTGTTGTATATATGGTTGTGATTTAAAATTTTTTGCATTAGTGATAGCTAATGCTAAAATTACCAATTTGAGTGATAAATAATACTACATATGGCGGATTTTTATCAACAATGACAATCATTTTTAATCAAAACCATCCCTGCTAAACAACTTTACTATGGTAGTGTTGGTTTAGTGTTACAATGACTTGACAGGAACAAAAAGATAACTATACAATACTTCTAATTACTTATATCATCACAACACAGCCAACTGCAAAACAACGAAAGAATTATGATAACATTATCATACTCTTTGATACACAATAAAACACACATGTAGATAGATATTATATATGACAGACCTTCCGAGTGATTTTATATTTACTCAGAACAAGACTTTGGACTCAGCAATACTTGAAGTCGCGAGCAAAATTACTCAAACTGTATGTATACTATATCTAATATATATCTAGTATATCTAGTATCAATTAATATATCAGTGCTCATAGTAGTATATAAAGTTAAGTATATAGTATATATGTTTATAAGTGATAAACACACTGATATGTAAAAACATCGTTGTTGTTATTATACATAATATCATAAGTAATAACTACAAAGCTCATATATAATAAATATTTATTAGTTAAATTATTGTGCATAATAAATTATGTATTTGTACGTGTATATATGATCATATAAATATATTTAGTAGATATATCAATATTGAGTAACTAAACATTTTCCAGCTTTGATAAAGAAACATAAGTCTTTTCATAAGTCAAATCGATTGATTATTTTTTATATAAATAAATTTGTTAGTTATAAATATTTGTTTGTTTATTTATGTTAGTTATTGTCGTTACATCAATTGGCATACAATGAGGAGGTTGCTTTTGTTGATCAAGTAAATGTTGGATGATTTTGTTGAAATTAATTTATTTTTCATCAACCAATAATGAAAATTTGTTAGCAAAATACAGTAGAGTAAACAATTGAATACTTTCGATATTTTTTGCTAGCAATGTCTGACCTTGGAGATGAAAAGAAAACTTTTTTGGAACTTGGTAGGCTAGATTTTATCGACAGTTCCAATCGAACTTGCGATTTCACCAACCCAAATTCCTACCTCTACCCAACTACAAACAGTTACCACCCTTTCCTATTTGTCAATCAACCAAATCCCGCAAAACAATCCCTGACTTCTTTCGACACTCAACGACCCGGACACGAACATTTGTTGGGGCAAACATCTTTCCTCGGCACTCCCCTAACCCCCCCATCTCTAACGTCCTACCCCAACTATGTTACGCAGCTGGTCAACAGCCACGGCGGATTCCCCCAACAACTCCCTCAACATCCGCAACAAACTGCCAATGTTTTCGCAGCGTCACTGATTGGTAGCGACGGCGCACTTGGTTCCAGCACCTCCGCACAGTTTCCTGACTCCATGAGGAATAGCTGGTATACGTTTCCACCTTTCACTAGAGATTCCACGTTTTCAAGTTTGAAAATTTTAATTTTGTATTTGCTCAAATTTTGTTTGTGTAAATACGTAACATAGCATTCAATTATTTTTAATTTTTATTTCTCGTTGGCCTTTTCATTTTCAACTGTTAATTTTTTTTAATAAAATTATTTTGAACCCTCATCAAACAAAAAATAAATTTTAACTTTATTTGAACCAACGAATCAATTCAAACTTCATTAGCTACTGATTTTCAAAAGTTAATTCCTACAAAAAAAATTTTGTTCCGATAGGTAGTTTAAGAAGTTATAATAAAATATTATTTAAATTAAACTTGAAAAAATGAGTCAATAATCAAAAATGAAAATAACTAAATTAATTGTAAAGATCTTAATTCACTAAATGGCACTGAAAAAGAACCACAGTATGTAGGTACTTTTTTCCACAAACTCATATTAAAAAAGACATTCGTCAGTTCATTACTAAAATTTTCCAAAATATATATTTTGGTAGTTTTATGTTATAAATAATCTTATACTAATAAACATATTTAGCAAAATAATTTGATAATTATGATAAGTAGTTTAAGGTTTTTTGTATCAACTTATCAAAACTAGTCTTCAAAATTATGTGGAAATTAATAACTAACTACATTTTGATTCATTATCAATTGTTTTGATATTTAAATCGCCTCAGGGTGCTTTTATTTTTGGTTTAATTCATAATTTAACAAAAAGCCATCAAATGCATTGAAAATAGTACATACTAGCATTTAAATATTGATAAAAATCATTCTTTCCAAATTATTTTTATTCTGTAAATTACTTTTAAGTGGAAACTAACAAGATTATCACACTAAATTTTGTAAACTATATTATAAGTCAAATAATTTTTTAAAATATTTAAATAAATAAAATCGTCAATTAAACTTAAATGCGTTTCAAAAAATTGCGCAATGAGTTGTTTATATATGATGCAAGTACATTTGCTGTGGTTGAACGAATAATGGCTAATCTTTGAAGCACAATTTAAATGGCAGGATGTTTGTTTTTCTAAAAATATTTGTAAATAACCACTATGAATAACAGTGTATGGTAAATTTCGTTATTAAAGTTGACGATATTTTAATTAATTAAAAAACCCCATTTGACACAAAAAAGAAAATAATCTACAAATCTAGTAAAATTAAATCATTAATATTCCCGCCATTTTGACACTCTCAGTTTCTCACATACTGAGCGGAGATTTGCAGCAGCAGCAGCAACCACATCTACAGCAACCACAACCATCGCAGACAACTCAACTTCCACACCAACAACAACACCAGCAACAACAGCAACAACGTTTTTTCCCAGGACATCACCAAACTTCACTAACAGGTGGCAGTAGCTCTCTTCAGACTCTGGGTGTTTCTAATCAAGTGTCCCTCTTAAATACGAACAATGCTTCTATGGGCATGTACGATCCACCAAGGATTCCCCTCAATGGCATGAATAGAAGGAAGAGGAGGATTTTATTCAATCAAAATCAAATTTGCGAACTTGAGAAGAGGTTTAAGAATCAAAAATATTTGTCGGCGCCTGAACGTGATCAGCTGGCGCAGAACATTGGACTCTCTCCTACGCAGGTTAAAATATGGTTTCAAAACCATCGGTATAAGACGAAAAAAGGAGATAAAGATAGAGTAAGTCTTAGTTTTTTTTACGTTTATTTATTTTTTTAAACCCATAACTCCTTTGAACGAGTAACAAATAAAAATTTAATAGCCTTTCAACTGGGACTGTAAGTAAGAGGAGTGAAATAATAATTATTATTGCTTTATCTGAAACAAATTAAATTTTTAGGGTAAGTCAGACAGCCATCAACCGCAGCAAGCAGGTGACAACATGATCCTGTACGATTCGAAAGCTGCCAGACAACATGATTACGTCAGACTTGGGAAGAAATACGACGAGGACCATGATGAATATGATGATGAAGACGACGAGGACGGCGATGATGAAGATGATACTCATCATAATATAAGTAGTGTGAACGACAATGCAGCCAGCGCGCAGCCCATGTCAAACCGCAACGAAATGAAACCACTCCAAGATCGGTCGGATTATTGGATGTATCAACATCCTCAACCAGTACAATCCATCCAACTTTTTCCAACGTACATTGATAGTATGTCACTGAATGCTGATCCTACGTCATCGTCATTACCATTGCCGACTTTATCATCATCGTCGTCATCATCGTCGGTCCTATCATCACTGACTACTGCCATGCCATCATCGTTTTCATCTTCAACATCGGCATCAGTTTCATACACGGATTTGAGTGGATTCGTATGGTCCAGTCCTCAGGGATATCACCTGGCTTCTAATAACGCTCTGCTGCCAGTGAATCCGGATAGTGTGAAGTCGTGGATGCTACTATCTTCTTCATCAAATAACAACAACAACGACAACAACAATAACAACAGCAACAACAACAACAATAACAACATCAACAGCAGCGACAACAACCCAAACGACGTCCTCAGTAATGACAAAAAACCACAAAGCAACGCCAACAATAACGAATTCGACAGATCTCAGCAGCAGCAACAACAACTGAAACAACACTATCCGTATTTACAACAATCGCAAAACTTGCAAAACATTCAACAGCCACAGCAAATTCAGCAACAGGAATTGAACTTCAACTTAAATTTCGAGCCAATAAAGTTGCAATCACTCTCATCCTTTAATTACTCCGCGGTAGGCAACGTACCAAGCTATTCAGTTGTTTCCTATGCAAATTATTTCAACCAAGACAATTCAATTTTGACAGCCACAACAACACTGCAACCAAGCAACGATAAAACTGCCATCAACAATATCAACATCAACAACAATATTGACATTAAGCAAGACGTTAATGAAACAAGCAACACCACCAACAACAACGCCAACGCCAACAACAACAATGATAACAACAACAACGTTAACAGAATTAACACTGTAGCTACAACGACATGACATTACGACAAAAGGCTCTTGATGAACTTGATATAAATATAAATGTTCGCATGTTTGTTCTTGTTTGTTAGCGTTTTCTATTATGTAAGCTATAAGGTCCTAATGCATTGAAACTATCAAACGTAATAAGCAAATGAATATTATTTTGTTTTTATTAATTTGTACATAATTTAATTTTGCTTTATGATTTTTAACTACAACGTTAGAGTAAGATTTTAAGAAGTTTTATTACCAAACTCAATTTCAACGTATTAATACATGCAGCTTGAACAAACATTTCAAACAATTTATTTACAAATAATTACTTTTTTTGCCAAAATGATGAAAATGAAAAAAGGGTTTGTCTGTTATGTTGGATATACTGTAGTAGGTGCTGTATTGTGGATAGGATGGGTGATTGATTGATCATACATGTAATTGCTTTGGCTGATGTATTTACAGAACTTGCATAGTCCGATATAAATTGCCTGTTTTTTTTTTTTATCATCAATGATCACGCTCATTCTTTATCAAAATCACTAAAGTTTATTTACAAGAGCAAAACATTTGAAATAAATAAATATCTTTTAAAATTTTTAATAAATAATTTACATTTATGAAAGGGCATACAAAGTTACTTCAAAAAAATTTAATTTATTTAACTAACAAGTTATTATTTATAGCGTGAAAAAATAACAGAATGAAACTAAACATAATTAAAAGTGAATAATAATAACAATTGTATTTAAACTAATGATTTAAGCTATAACAAAGCCATCAGGTTTATTGACAACTGTTTCGTAAGTTAGGTCATATAGTGAAGAGACGATATCACAGAACCGAGGTCTCAGTCGGGGATTCTCAGTCGTACATGCTTGGATCAACTGCCAAACATTTTCCGGACAGTCAGTCGAACTTGGTGGCTTGTACCCTGATGTCAGCGTAATTCTCGGGTAATTTAGTTTATTCTCTCGGGAGTTTAACCCCTCAAGAACTTGATCGTCTGTTTTTGTGGATAATGGAATTTGACCAAGACTGTACACCTCCCATACAAACACTCCAAATGACCAGACGTCACTGGCAGATGTTTCACACGAATCTAGAATAGCCTCAGGAGCCATCCACCTTAGAGGAATGAGTCTCTCATTCAGCGGGAAGTATTCGTTCATGTAAGCATCTCTGCAGAGAGATGGGCAACTAATTTTGCCCTCCAACGTAGCAGCATTGATGACGATGTTTCTGGCTGCAAGATCTCTGTGAATCAAGCCATTGTTGCAAAGATGTTCCATTCCCAGGGCCACCTGACCGCAAAGAGCGATCATCTGATTGGAAGATATCAGCGGCAACATGCCATCACGAGATGCGTGCAAGAACTTCTTCAAGTCATCCTGAAATTTTTTATAGCAATTGTTTCGTAATTCGCTCTCATTTATGACTTGACAGTAACTAAAAAAATTATTAAATGAAGCAAATGAATGTTATTATACAAACCCATTCACAGTGCTCAAATATAACAAACAGAGGATCAATATCAGCACATAGTCCGATGAGTTTGACGATATTTTTGTGGTGGCATTTTCCGAAAGTGTCAATTTCTCTCAAACACTGCTCACCATTAACTTCGGTCTTAGATAAAAATGACTTGACCATAACAACGTCGGTCGTCAGATCCAAATGGTCGGTTCTGGCGACAAAAACATCGCCGTAGTGACTACGACCTTTGAAGAACAAATAGAAAAAGAACTTAAAACTCACAGTTCTGTTTAAAAAATACTTCACAAATTAAAAAAGGTTAAAAGGTTAAAGGTTCATTAAAATTTTTCAAAGTTCAGAAGAATCAACAACATCCAAAGAGCGTACATAGACTCCTAACCACTGAGTCATCACGACGCTCAAAGCGCATTAAACTGAAATTAATTCAAATAAACTGATTTTAAGTTTCTAACCAAGCATTCCAATCATGTGTAGCTTGTGCCTGGGTATGTACAACCTATCTGGAGGAACATGTGGCAAGATGGTTTGATGCAGTTGCGACGAGAATAGGTTCAAATGAGATGTTCCTCTCAGTGTGGCCAGCGTGTTGTAGTCATCTATGTTATTAGTTCTCGTATTGTAGGAGGATGTTGATATGGAAGAGGAAAGTTCTAGATCTTTCCTTGGAACCAAGCCAGCGCATTCTGTGGCTGCAGTATCATTGACGTTGATGTTGTTGTTGTTACTGCAACTGTTGGAACCATTGAGGGCACCATCTGTTTTGAAAGTTAAATTGTTTCTTATTAGCTAATAAAAATTTAAACCTAAATAAAAATTGTAAACCGAAGCAGAAAACACGTGTACAATTTATAATTAAAAATTAAACTAATCAAACGAAACAACTTTAAATAATTTCAACCTTTTTCTTTGCCCTTCTTTCTCAAGTGCTTCGCTCTGGTCATCCTGATAGTACAGTAGACAGTCAAACTAATGACGACCGCCAAATAAGCCATGCCACAACACACAGCGATGATAATGGTCTTCATCATGTCGGCATTCGTTTGTCCATCAGTTGGTCCGCTCTGTGGTGATCCGTCGCTGGCCATCAGTTTGTTGTAGTTCTCTGTGCCTAGGTTGGGAGGATAATTTTTGCGAAATCAGGTTGGTTAATTTTGAACTCAACTTTAGTTTAATGGTTAAACAATCAATAGTTATTTTATCAAAACCAACGATTTTATAATTATTTAACGTAACTAAGACAAAAACAAATGATTTCTGAACACCAAAAATAACGGTAAAATAAATAAAACAATTCATGTTTCAAATTTATAATAGAATTAATTTTAAAAACTTTTAAGACAAACATGCACAATTATCCTAATTATAAAAAAATAGAAAACAAAGACTAACTGGAGACTTGAAGATGGAGGTCGAAACTTTCAACGCCACCGACATTCCGTGCGTTGCATGTGTACTTGCCGAAGTCTTCCATGTACAACTGCGATATCACTAAAGTTCCGTTCTGTAAAACCTAACAAGCAAACAAATGCACAACACATTTAGCGTCAACATAATGGAATAATTGCTATAATTCTTTCTGTTAACGAATCGTGTTAAATATGTAATACCTTAATTCTGTTGTTGGAGACGAGTGGATTGTTGTTCTTCTGCCAGCTGGTCGTAGGCAGAGGATCGCCTGTAGCCACGCAGTGCAACATCAACTGCTGACTCTCCCGCATTGTCAAGTTGGAAGGTAGGGGAATTTTGAAGCGAGGTCGAACTGAACGAACAGTTTAAACGTTAAAGCAAACTATTTGAATTAGATAGAATAAATGTGAAATAACATTTCTATGCAACTTGAAAACATTCGTAGAAATTATTGCTCAAGGAGAAAAACTTTGTGTAAGAAAATATCAGCATCCGATTTGTATAGTTGTTAGTTCATACAATTCATAATTTCAATTTGTTTGTTTTTTCAAATTTTAAAAGCACAACAACACATAACAAACAACTACAGACCATAGACCACGAGGGAAACTGTTGCATTGATCGATCCTTGCTCATTGCTCGCTATGCAAGTGTAATTGCCGGCATCACTCTTATCGACCCGATCGAACAACAGCAGTCCATCTCTACTCATGAAGTTGTTGTTATTGTTGTTGTTGTTTTGTGGCACGCCATCTTTAAGCCACATTATTTGAGGCGGTAATCTGCCGTCTGCCTGACATATCAGTTTGCCTTCGTGTCCCATTTCTAAAAAAAAGTCGCTAGGTGTCGGGTTGAATTTGAGCTTTCCTGTTGAAGTTTGGTATTCAAATTTATATGATATGCCATGATTTCTTTGTATGGACATAATTTTTTCAATTTTATTTTGAACAATTTTTTAAAACCTGTTTAAAAAGTTAACAAAACCACAAAAATAATTGTGTATAAATGTTGCAAGTTCAGTTGACATCTGCGCTCAGCTGAAATAGGCAGATTTCAATTTTTACCCACATTACATAATTTGATTTTATTTATATTGGAAAATTAGTAGTTAATTGTGTTTTGCTAACTCAAAAAAAATCCGTACGTGAGTGAATGAGTGAATATTTGCATGCGTTTAGTGGAGAAAGAGTGAAAGATAGAGAAAAGGAGTTGGATAAAGAGAGAAAAAGAGTGGAGAGAGAGGGGGAGTTGGAGAGAGACTTATGAGTCCCCAGAGAAGAACATTAATCCTGATGACGTCAGATGAACATGTTCATAAGAAATTGTTGGCGCTTTGTCTCTCTGTCTATCGATACAATCAGTTATTTGTTTGCGATTCTTTCTTGACAGTCTTTTTTTTTTGTTTTTAAGTTATATTGTTGTTGATGTTTATCAAGATGATTTAAATTCATCGGACATCTTTGTTGCTAATATTGCAAAACATTTAAATAAAATATTTTTTTAGTTTTGCGTAAAAACGACAGTATAAATAACAATAATGAGAGGGAAACAGAAAATGTTCGAGACTGGTAGAACAGCGTGAACTAACTTTCAACGTATAATCTTGCATTGATTGATGTGACGACTGGGTGTCCAATTGTGTTTGCCGCACATGCGTAGTCACCTTCATCCAGTGGGGTCACTGATTTGATTTTTATGACACCCCTGCCTTCATCTACTTTATACTTCTGCGGCTGATCTTTGACCTGCTTTGCAAAAACATTTTGAAGATGTTTCATCTTTAATCTTTTTTACATAACAACAAAAATTTATAAAACAATCGAATAGAGTTGCCCAGCAGCGTTAAATGTTCTTCAACACAACAAAACACAGTGATCAGAAACATTCCCAAAAGCAATCCAGCCCTTCCAACCATTAAAGGCTTTCCTTCGAACCACCAGGTGATCTTGTTGACAGGATATGGTGAAGACACAACCCTGCACCTGAACTCGGCATCTTCATCCTCTTCCACCCGCACACTCAGTGGATGATCTTTAATGATAGGAGGTGCTGTACAAAATGTTTCGAGGAATGTAGTTGAAAATTAACATTTTAAAAATAGTTAAAGCTAGTAATAAAAGCAGTAAACTTCATGTTAGGCAGTCTCTTTGAGTTGGATGAATATTTTAAAAATTTTAATTTGACGTTATTGAATGTTTATAGTTTTGAATAAAATATATTTAATAAGAAATCATCTAGAAAACTTTTTGAATTTTCAACAAAGTTAACAAAGTTTCGTACCGGAAATGACGACATCGATAGATTTGTTTTTGATTCCCGCCAAATTCTCAACAACGCAGACGTATGTTCCAGTCATTGACTCAACGGCGTGTTTTAAGGTCAGGTTGTTGTTGTTGCTGACGACGATGTTGTTGTTGTTGTTGTTGCTGCTGCTGCCGTAATCATTCTTGTCGTTGTAAAAAGGAAAGACGTCGGAGTAATCGTTGAGGTCGTCGTTGTTGATGTTGTGGTTGATGTTTTCCGTCAGGTCAGTTGTCCTTCTCGTTCTCGACTGCATTTTTATCCACACTGTTGTCAGTGACATTGCATTTATTTCAAATTAAACCGCCAGATATTGATTCGAATAAACATTTGCCTGAGTTAATTTCATTTGCTTTGCTAGGCTTAATTCCAAAAACAACGCACCACTGTAGAGAAAAATTTATTCGCACGAGTGTTCTTGCACTGCACAGCAGATAAAAGATATTATTTACATTTGAACTGTTGACCGAGGCCACTAATTAGTTTTTTTTATGGCTAAAACATGTTCCACAATGATCTCCGCAGATGAATGACGAACGTGCAAACAGCGTTCAGATTGCCCTCACACAGAAACACACCTACCAATAACAAACATACAGATGCACACACTCGCACGCACAATGGCACACACATGTTTTATACACGACTCACACCCGCACAAACAAACAAAAATATCGTCTTTTTATTTGCGTACGATACACATATACAAATTATGAACTCGTTGCTTTTACATAAATTTTTATGATATTTAAGATATTTAAACTGAAAAAAGTTTAGACGAATTAGAATAACAATAAAATTTGAAGTAGCGATTAACTAAATAAATAAATGCTATTCAGACCAACTAACTCGTTTTATAACAAACAAATAAATGAATAGGAGGAAAACAAACAGAGGTATGGGGGTTAAGTGACTGAGTCATAAAATAAACTAAACAACCAAACGAAATTTCAAATAAAAATATATCAAAATAATTAAAAAAAAATAAAAGGACGTACGATCGAATTAATAAATGCAATGATAAATAAACAGATCCGTAAGTATGGAGGAGGATTCGATGAAGGAATGAATGAGTGAGCGAGCGAGCGAGTGAGCGAGCGAGTGAGTGAGTGAGTGAGTGAATGTAGTAATGAAATGAATGAATGAATGAAATCAAATGAGACTTGCTTGGGTGTTGACAAAAGTTGAAGATAAACAATCAATCAATTTTCTCCATATTGTACGTACGCTTATGTGTGTAGTGAACGTATACGTGTTCGTATGTATATGTGTATATGTATATCAGTATGGATTTGTATGTATTGTATATACGTTGATGTTTCCATATGCCATCATAACTAACTTCATTGTTTACATGTGAACGAGCGTTTTTTTTTTATGATTAAACTTTGTTTATAAATGTGCACATGTGTTGTGTTGTTGTTGGTTTTAATGATGGATACGTCGTTTGCATGATCTGCTTACATTTGCTCGTGAATTGTTTATGAATTTTAATGATGTGGTTAACAGAAGAAGACTGCCTTCATGAAGAGTTTCGATTAAAACGAAAAATAAACATATCTTAATGAAAATTATTTACCGAATGGATATTGTAAAAATATTCTGAAAAAATATAAAAAGAATAACTTTTCCTTTTATCAAAAGAGTACAACAACATCATGCCATCACTGCAATTACAATCTACATGAATGCTATTGAGAACATTGCGTCAACATTTTTTTTGTTCGTACTTTTATAACAAGAATGAATGAATGAATGAATGAATGAATGAATGAATGAATGAATGAATGAATGAATGAATGAATGAATGAATGAATGAATGAATGAATGAATGAATGAATGAATGAATGAATGAATGAATGAATGAATGAATGAATGAATGAATGAATGAATGAATGAATGAATGAATGAATGAATGAATGAATGAATGAATGAATGAATGAATGAATGAATGAATGAATGAATGAATGAATGAATGAATGAATGAATGAATGAATGAATGAATGAATGAATGAATGAATGAATGAATGAATGAATGAATGAATGAATGAATGAATGAATGAATGAATGAATGAATGAATGAATGAATGAATGTGTTTATAATATTTGTTTTGATAACGAAAATAACAATAATGTTAATTTTGCAGTCATCACCGTTGTCATTTTGTCACTTTTATCATCATCATTTTCTTCACCATCTTTATCCTCATCATCATAAACATCACCATCTACAACATCATTATCGCTATTATCACCATCATCTTAATTATCATCAACATCATCATCATCATCAACAATTACAACTACAACATCAACACCATCAACAACTACAACATCAACATCATCAACAACTACAACATCAACATCATCAACAACTACAACATCAACAACAACAAAAACTACAACATCAACAACATCATCATCATCAAAATTACGTCCATCATTAAATTCAGCTGAAAAAACAAAATTTTCAGTGCAACGAAAGTTCAACGCGGCCACAATGTAGAAGAGCGTACAACAAACATACATACAACAAACATACAACATACATATAGCGGGCCACTGAGTTAAACTGGGTCGGTATGTGAGTGTGTGCGTGTGTTTGTATGTGTATGTGTGTGTGTTATATGTGTGTGCGTGTGTGTCTGTCTGTATGCCTGTCTGTTTAGGACTTTAGGTGGATAAAAATTTTAGTTGATATCCGCGCGTGTGTGACTGCTTTTTGTATAATAAGAGAAGAAACAAATATAAGATTGTTTAATGTTTATTTTATACGCGCATGCTGATGAATTTGTACAGAGCCTACAAATACAAACCCATTTGCATGTCAAAGTACTTTTCACTCATAAGTTCATGCCGAATTTATCAAATTTTTCAAAGTTTACCAAGTTTCTGTCACGTGTTTTTTGCGAATTTTTGACTCTTCAACTTATTTGAACGTGTCAATGGTTCATTTCTAAATGGTTAACAATTAACGCTAGTACATTTGTATGTACCTGTCTATAAACTCAAAGATATTTTAAATTTTAATGTTAAAATAACAACGTCTGTGTGTGTATACTATGTAAATTTATTTGGATTATTTTTCATCAATTGGAGGTAGAGATTCATTCGTAAATGTACATTGCATGGGAAATGTACAAACGTCTGTACTACAATCCACATAGTCCGCTTGCTACTTCTTCATACCCTGCTCGTCACACTCACAACTCTTTTGACATCCTCCTAAATTGAATCCAACGCCTAAAAAGAAGACCTAACAAAAAAATGTTTCTGCCTTCGCCAAGTGTTAACTTAACAAGATTCACATCGTTTGTAGTTACTGAAAATTACATTGGAACGCTGATGTGTGTTTGTCGTTTGTGTCTCTCTCTCTCTCTCTCTCTCTCTCTCTCTCTCTCTCTCTCTCTCTCTCTATCTCTCTTTCTCTGTTTGTGTGTGAGTGTGTATGAGTGAGTGTGAGTGTGTCTGTGATATTACATATGAAATTATTCCTAATTTGAATAAATAGATAATTGAATGCAACGAACTTTCATTTAAAAATCTCGTCAGAAGCTGAATAAGTAAAGTGGTGCATAAGTAAAGTTTTCGAAGGCAATACTAATCATATTTAAAGTGGGAAAGAAAATAATAAAAATAATAGTATATTAGATTAAAATTTTGATAAATTCTTAAAAAAACATAGCTGCTACTTTAAAAACATCTTCACAAAGAAGATTTTTTTTAATTTAAAATAAAACTGAAAAATAAAGAAAGAAGATAAAAAAAAGTACATCTATACATGAAAATTAATTGATGCTATTTCCAGAAAGATTAATCCACACATGCAAGCTACTTGAGGGAGAAGCTTTAACACATGTGTTTCGTTGTGTTATGTTTTGTTTTGTTGTGGGTTTTTGTGTTTTATTAGTAAGTAACGTTGTACTAAATTTTGTTTTTTCATGTTTTTTTTAATTTGTTTCATTTTAATTTGTGTTATGTTATGTTATATTAAGTTTTGATGAGTTATGTTATATCAGTTAACTTTCACACTAACAAAAAATGCATTCACTTGGTTAACCATGAAAGACATTTGCAGATTAATACAACAAACGTATATTTTTTATCAAAATCATTTTTGTTTTTCTGATTATTTTCCCTTTTTATATTTTTCAGAGTTTTTTTTTGTGTCCACAGACGTAGCAGTGTACCATCGTCCACAAACACATACTCACGCCTGCAAACATACACTGCATTTTCTCTATAATCCGTCTACTTATCGACATTTTTCTGCTGGAAATGCTGAAAAAACTTTATCTCTATATGTAAGTGTGTGTTTGTATCTCTCTCTCTCTCTCTCTCTCTCTCTCTCTCTCTCTCTCTCTGTGTGTGTGTGTGTGTGTGTGTGTGTGTGTGTGTCAAGTAATGCAAATGCGTTCGTTCACACACGCATCTTCGCATGTAAACAAACCACACACACATTCATAGGCAAGCACATGCACGCACATCCACTCACACATCCTCTCAAGCACACACGCACACGCGCACGCACACACACATTTCATAAGTTAGCATGATATATGAAGGATTGTTTAGTTTCATTTCAGACGGCACAGCAGCTTTTAAACTCTGAGGCGAACTTTTTAATTGAATTTTGAACGATTATAATTTTGAGATAAGAAGTTATGGTGATGGTGACGTTGCTGCTGCTCCTGATGATGATGATGATAATGATGATGATGACAATAATAATAATAATAACGATAATAATATAATATAATAATAATAATAATAATGATGACGATAGTAATTATGATGACAGTTTTTAGAAAACAATGCAGTTACATTAGTAGCAGCAGCAGTAGTAGTAGTAGAAGCAGCAACAATAGTATCAACAGAAGTAGTTGTAGTAATTGTAGCGGTAGGAGTTGCGGTTGCGACACCGGTAGCGGTAGTAGTGGTGGTAGTAGTAGTAGTAGTAGTAGTAATGGTGGTGATGGTGGTGGTATTACCATTGCAAAAGGTCCCGTAACAGTATTAGTAGTAATACTTTTGTAATGATGGGGATGATTATGATTGATTGTGAGAAGTGTTGAAATTGCTAGATTAAGAAGAAGACAGAAATGTTGATGTTGATAACGATTGTAAGGATGATAATGACGATGG